TTGCACAATTTAAATACAAAAAAATTTTATAAAAAGTAAAGAGCTGTCAAAACAGCAATAACGATAAAACGATGATAACAAATAACAATACAGGTGTTAGAAGGTGGACCAAATGGAGATTTGGTGTCGTATGCAACAGTTGGACAACAAGTGTATCACAAATGGACTTGTGATTCCGAAACTCGTTAGTCACCTTCGTCATTTTCTTTATTATTATTGTCTGCATTCGCTGCTTTTTTTTTTTTTTGCATAATCAAATTTCTTTTTTTTGTTATAATATATCAACAATTTGACAGAACACCTTCAAGTACATTGAAATGTCAACAGTGATTAACAATGGAACTAACTGATTTATTTAGAACATAATATTAGATTTAAGAAAGAGGGGATGAGGATCGTGAAAACGCTCGGGTCGTGGAAAGAAAAAGGAGTAGGTGATATACTGTCAGATGAAATAAACGATAGGCTCAGTTGTCAGATTTAATCATCATTTTTTTCAACAATTTTTGATACGGAGAACTGATCAATTGCTGACATCTCCTAATCTACAACCTTCAAAACTTAAAGCCTACTGAAGGCTAACTGCGTAGTTAGTGCTATTTGTTGCAAAACAGGTACCTAGGAGATTGAACGTGTTCAATAAAGCAGTAATGGAAGAAATAAATGTACTTTAAAACAACTATTTTTTTTGAAGGGGTTTTTTTTTCTTAACTTGATTATTAAATTATCCACAGGTAATTCAGTGTTGCAGTTACCAAGAAGAGAATTTTTAGGCTACATTGAAGCAAAAAGAAGTGGTTGAACAGTTTTTTTGTCTTAAATACTTTAAATGCATTAACTGTTACGGAGAAATATCAATGTTTAATGTTGCCTTTCTGAAACAGAAGAGAAAAGAAGAAACTTTTTTTTATTAAATTTTATTTCAAGTATTTTTTAAACGTTAAATTTTATACGCTTAACTGAGCCAATAAGAGAATTTAATTTAATAAATGTTTGATTTGCTTATCTGCAAAATTATGTGATACAAATTTATGCTGCTAAACCCTGTATACGCAGAGTATATCCATTTCTTCATCTTTACTGTTTCTTGGCTAAAATTTTCACTGATCACTCTTCTATTATCTCGTTTCTCTTCTAAGAGAGGAAAAAAACAGTAAGTTTATGAAAAAACTGAAAAACTGGGAAGAAAGAGCAACTTTTTTTTGTTATTGATATTATTTTTGGCTTTAAAAAACAAAAATTAAATGGTGCTTAAATTAAACACGTCTAAACTGTTTATATTTTCCATCCTTTTCTTTTTTGTTGTTGTTGTTGTTGTTGTTGTTAATGACAATAATTATGTATATCTTTTTGAATATGATTGCAGAAGACACATTTTGCATGAAAGTACATTCATGTAACGTTGATGATGGCAAAGGCGATTCTGTCGAAATCCTTGACGAAGACGGATGTGCAAAAGATAAATATGTGTTGAATAATTTAGAATATCCCACCGATCTAATGGCTGGCCAAGAAGCCCACATCTACAAATTTGCCGATCGTTCAGAGCTTTTCTTCCAGTGTCAAGTAACAAAAATTCTTTTCACTCTTATTCTGCCTATCTATTTTTTCCCTTTCTTTAAAGTTTAAACTAACTGAAAAAAAAAAAGAAGAGG